GGATCCAGACTTGCGTTTGGGGGGGGGGGGGCAACTCATGCAGGAGCCAAACCTAGGGTACCCCCAAATCCTGTTTTCTCATCGGATTTAGGCCACTTATTTTTCGTCACAGCCCTGATACTATGATTTTTTTTTTTAACTAAAAATAAAAATATGTAAATGGTAGCCCACCCGACCCATGCCTTTATATTACTTTGTAAACACTTACTATTGCTTTTGTCGACCAGTTAACCCGCTTCGAGTCAGTGGTTGGGTCCCTTTGCGGGCCGGGAGGTGGTAAAACGGGAGGTGGTCTAACTCGGCTCCTGGGCCAGGCACTGATTGAACTGTGCTTCATTATCGCTTGGGGGAGGGGGCAAACGGGCCACTTTAGGCCTCTTGGAAGGGGGCATGGCCCTAAATGCCCCCTCCCTGGATCCGCCAGTGTAAGAGACCATTGGAGCTGCAGTTGAGTACCTCAGACGTCAGGGTATGTACGTCCTCAGATGTAGGGGAAGTTGGGGCAATGCCGGAGTTGGGGCAAAGCCGAAATTCGAGATATTTCGAAAACCGTAAGACATGGATGCCACCTGTCAGTGATGCTCTGAAGCTTAAGTGACTACAATTATCGCATGTTTGTTACGAGTCGTCATTCGGAATACTTCGACTGTGAGGGCGCCAAGAGCGTTTTCAAGGTACGTTTCCCTTGTACTACATGCGCCTTTGAAGCTGCATTTCTTACTCATTATGCTACCGTTTGTCTGGCCAATTCGGTCAAGTAATCTTTAGCATGTCTTTGCATAAGTGTGCTGCCTATTTGAAATTTATACAGCACGTTGAAAAGTTATGGGCCTGCAAATGAAAGTATGGCTGGCTGGGGTAATGCCGAAAACGTGCGATTACGCACGTGTTAAAAGCACGCTAGTGGACTTTACTGCTGTAGAATAGCAACGCGTATTTTTAGTCACACAAATTACACTTTCAACCGACACAACGGCCTGTTACCTATAAGGAATGATTTACCTGGCATTTTCTTATTATATCACACAATTATAACTTCCAGTGTGCACCGCGTCCTCAAGCTCTTAAAACGCGTGTCAGCTTTGATGAATTCTGGATAAAGTTTGAGATAAAATGGCAAAACATCAATGTCGGCATTCCCCGTAGATCATTTCTCCCATTTTCGGCTTTCCCCGCAGTCCGGGGCAACGCCGAAAAAGTCACTTCTATGATATTTTTAGTTTGTGCGCTTAACGGTATGCGAATTCATCAAATGCGCCTGGTATGTTTGAAAGGCAAAAGACTGGCCTCTCGAATGACGCCAACAAGAATAGCTTATGTTGTCTACCTTGCGTGCTACGGGCGTCAGAAAAAAAGTCTTCGGCGTTCCCCCAACTTCCCCTATAGGACTCGCATGGAGACCTCTTATGCTATAGTGGACTGAAAGGACCCAAAGGAGCCTGTCTAGGGCTCCCGGAGATAGACGTGGGCCCTCAGGAGCCCGCCAGAGCCCCCAATGAGGGATAAGTGAGGGATACCAAGTGCCTGCAATTGCATATTGCATAAGCCATAACGCCATTACAAATCAATATAATATGTACCAGTGGCAGATCCAAGGGGGGTCACATGGGTCATGACCCCCCTTGGTGCCCGGGGGCACCACAGGCCTGTCAGGGGCACCACCGGCCTAGCAGGGGCACTACCAGCACGCCAGGGGCACCACAGGCCTAACAAGGGCACCACGGGCCTGTGAGGGGCCCCACAGGCTAGGCTTGTCAGGGGCACTCCAGGTCTGTCAGGGACACCAGAGACCTCAGGGGCGCCGCCGGCCTTGCAGGGGCACCATGGGCCTGTCAGGGGCACCAGAGGCCTAGCAGGTGTACCACAGGCCTTACAGGGGCACCTTGGGCCTGTCAGGGGCACCACAGTTCTGTCAGGGCCCAGGGGCACCAGCGGCCTAGCAGGGGCACCACAGGCCTGCCAGGGGCACCACCGGCCTCGCAGGGGCACCATGGGCCTGTCAGGGGCCCCACCGACCTCGCAGGGGCACCACCGGCCTCGCAGGCATCACGGCATCACGCAGGGGCACCTTGGGCCTGTCGGGGGCATCACGGGCCTGTTGGGGGCACTTGAGGCTTGTCAGGGGCACCACAGTCCTGTCAGGTCCCAGGGGCATCAGCAGCCTAGCAGGGGCACCCTAGGCCCGCCAGAGGCACCACAGGCCTGCCAGGGTCCAGGGGCACCACAGACCTACCAAGGGCACCACGGGTCTGTCAGGGCCAGGGGCACCTCAGGCTCCCGTGCCCCCCCCCCCCGGATCCGCCAGTGATGCCACACCACGCGAAACACCGCCAACTCCCAGCTACCGCGCCATAAACACGTGCCAACAAGTCTTTTTTGAAGGTCGACTCCACTCGCGCAACTTTTGACTGACCCTCACTGCTACCATATTGCTTCCATATTATGCTGTGGAAAGCTTTACTTCACCAAGTGGCTAAAAACCTCCATCAAGGTATATTTTCTTAGCAATTTTTCTTACGTTTTGGGGGGGGGGGCCAAACAGGCCACTTTAGGCCTTGGGGGGGGGGGGGGCCATGGCCCCCGTGGCCCCCCCCCCCTGGATCCGCCAGTGGGGTTATGGCGGAACTTTGCTTCGTTGTGATTTTACGCGTCGCGCACACTGAGTGATTGGCGCTCACTAAGGCAGACCAATGAGCGCCCGGCTGGTGAGCCCAGGCGGCGCCGCTATCCGCCTGGGGTGGGGGACGGGGTGAAGAGAGAGCGATACGAGCATGACCTTTGGCCGACCTCCGCTTGTTTTGACGCAGTTGTCAGCCGCTGGGGCCTGCGTCATATAGCAGTTTTCCTTCTATACCGCTGGCGTAAAATCGTGTTACAGCTTACTTTTTATGATACAGGCCAGGACCTCACTGCTGGGGTCCTCAAACTGAATGGAATACAGGGTGTCCCAGAATCACCCGAACATTGTTAATTAGCGTATAAAATAAGGCAAACATGATTGCGCTTCTTTCTTTTTATCGTCCTATGTAGTCAACTAGGGTAGCTATAAAATAGAGGATGCAATAGATACGCTGGTTACATTAGTCGACAATGATGGAAAATGCCAGCCACTGCTGGTCTCAGTTGTTTTACGGGTCTCCCGAAACTGGTTGTAGGCCTGTTTTCTTGACCTCTTGCCGGAGGATAATACGATATACGTCGCGACGGAGGGCAAAGGCTGCCCAAGCCCACCCGCACCCGGACCCCACGCCTGGCCACGACTCCCTGGCGCGCTGAGGGTCGGTGACGCTGTCCCAGCTGAGGACCGGCACATCACCGCTGACTCGTGACACGCTCCACAAGATTGGCCTGGCAGCCGACGACGAATGCCCCGCACGGCTGGCCGATTGTCCGGCCTATGAGGCGGCCCGCCGCCGCCGCTGGGGTGTCGCCCCTCGCCTGGTCGACGTCCTCGGCGGCCCGGCGACGGAGGTCGTCGCCTTCATCGAGGATGTCGGGCGGACCGAGCCGCCGCTCGACCCGCCTGCGCCGCCGCCCCCCTGAGCGGGTTGGCGGTGGGATGCAGAAGAAGAAGAAGAAGAAGGATAATACGATCATATAAGATAATCCTAACATCAGTGTTCCCAGGCCATAAGGCATTATTCCCCAAAACAAAAATTTCTGCTTCACCACTTTTGCCGCGTTTTTTACACCAAGTGGGGAAGCTCCATGCCTGAACATGACGCGACCTTTGGCTTCCAACAGATTTGGTTTCCAAAACAAACCCGTTCATGGCCATTTGGTTCACGGCATCCAGTTTTTGTAAAGCTAGAATATTACCGCAGTAGTAGGCCTACTCTATGCTAACGGTTGTCTTTGGACCATCATATCAAGCCGAATGAGTGCACCGTGGCTCAAAGTGTCTCATAATTTGATTTTCAACGGGTGCCTGGCCGTCTCCGCTGTTGGGGCGTTGTAGCCATCTGACGCTCACACACGCCTTTTTCGGGCGGTTCAAATGACGGAATACCTTTGTTAGACCACAAAGTGTGATTCAATATACTTTTGTGTTGTATATGTTATGTTTTTGGGATGAATTGTAGCGATTTGCGCTGTTTTTCCCATAGTTTTCGCATATTTTTTTTCAGGCGAAGGACCCCAAATTCCAAAATTTTGTCAAAGATAGTGGTGCAAGGTAGACTGATGTTTTGTAGATCATCCTGATCTATCGTTTAGCTAGTTTTTAGCTAGCTCGGTGACGATTGTTGTCCATGACAAGCAGCCACCCGTTTGACAACTGGTGCATGGCCCTTTCAAGCTTGTCAATCAGGTTTATCTCTTGCTCGCTCGCTCTGGCTTCGTTAGCTGATATAATTGCGCTTTGCTCAATCCTAACTGCTTGCAGATGATTGCTGAAGCTCTCCAGCAAAAACCATGCCGAAAGTCCGTCTACAAAATTGAGAACGGGAGTTGATTCACCATGGTTGCCTATTAGTGGCTTAAGCTGGAAACGGAAAAGGACTACTGTTACTTGACTCTGGATAATAATTGACTCGAGTCGTGACCGGTCACCAAAAGCACACAGTTCCCAAGCTCGATAGATAAGGGATATCTTGCGCAATCGTTCTTTTAGCCAGAAAATAAATGTTCGGGTAATTCGGGGACACCCTGTAGTTTGCTGAGCCGCCGCAGCTCAGGACGCGATACTTTCAAGAGAGACTATACACGGAGTGGGCTTGCCGGAGTTCAGCCCGCTCGGGCCCAGAGAAATCTCCGTTATTTAAATGGATTAACTGCTCGGGCTTGCATGGGGCTAGCGCCAATCGAAGCCCTACTACGGCTAAACTAAGGATGTCCGGGGCTCGTAGATCGGGCATGACTCCGGCGGGGCATGGGCTTTAGTCGGTGTTTTTGTGTCATACGCCGACATAAACCAGACTAAAAAATCTCGGGCAAGCCGCACTTTGGCCTATTTGGGCTGGGAACAAAATTGCTGGCTGGCTTGCACCAACACACAAGACTTCCAGTGAAAACAATGTATATTCTCATGCTCCACACGGTTACATTCACAAGAAACAACAGCTATATAACACAGAAATAGTGAAACGGACTATAAAGATGCCCAGAGCTCGGCCAATTCAGTCACTGGGACGAGGGCCTGTTTAAGGTGTGGAGCTATCAGCTAGTAACTATACATACGAGCAAGCAGGCCTAACCGAACTTGTGGAATACCACAAGTTGGATTACTCACTTTAAGTACTTGGTACCTTCCAACATGCGAATGCAATTTGTAAATTTCCGACCATACAAGACAATTTGTACATGTGACCACTCAGCCAACCAAAACTGCACTAGTAGCTTACAATTGTACCGCGTTGATTCGAAGATGGGTGTAAATCTTTTGCAGGAAACAGCCAATAAAGGAGAAGTTTCAAGTTGATAGCATAAGCGGTTCGTGAGTCATTCCAGAAAAGGGAGGGGAGGGGGGGGGGGGCACATCTGACCCCCGCGTGGTTGAGGGTTGAGTAGACATTTATGCATGTAAAATGGCGAACCGCAAAACCCTCCTCTGGCGCTTCAAACGCAACAAAATAAGAGAAGCATGTTGCCATCCCCGCCCCTAACAGAAAACAACTGAAATGGTGAAAGATGATATGCTATTGAGAATTGCTTCGGCGCTCCCCCGTGTGGGTCCGCAGATGTTTGGCAAGACTTGATCGATCACCAAATCGTGCCGTGCAGAGGGAGCAGCCGTACGGCCGCTCCCCCGTGTGGGTACGGATATGGATCGTGAGGTTTGCTCGTTTAGAGAACCGGGCCGTGCAGATGGAGCAGCTGAATGGCCGCTCCCCCGTGTGGGTACGCATGTGCATCGTGAGGGATGACCGTTGAGCGAACCGTAACGTGCAAATCGAGCAACCGAATGGCCGCTCCCCGGTGTGGGTCCGCATGTGTGTGGTGAGCTGTGATCGGTCAGCGAACCGTGCCTGGCAGATGGAGCAGCCGTACGGCCGCTCCCCAGTGTGCGTACGCATGTGTACGTTGAGGTGTGACCCTCGAGTGAACCGTGTCGTGCAAAGGGAGCAGCCATACGGTCGCTCCCCCGTATGGATCCGCATGTGTGTGGTGAGGTGTGACCGTTCAGTGAACTGTGCCGTGCAAATGGAACAGCCGTACGGCCGCTCCCCCGTGTGAGTAAGCATGTGCATCGTGAGGCTTCCTCGTCTAGCAAACCGTGCCTGGCAGATAGAGCAGCCAAACGGCCGCTCTCCCGTGTGGGTTTCCAGGTGACTGGTGAGAGCAGACCGTTGAGCAAACCGTGCCGCACAGAAGGAGCAGCCGTGCGGCCGCTCCCCAGTGTGGGTCAGCATGTGTTTGGTAAGACTTGCTCGTTCAGCGAACCGGGCCTGGCAGTGTGTGCAGCCGTACGGCCGCTCCCCCGTGTGGGTACGCATGTGTCTCGTGAGGGATGACTGTTCAGGGAATCGTGCTGTGCAAATCAAGCAACCGAATGGCCGCTCCCCAGTGTGGGTCCGCATGTGTTTGGTAAGACTTGCTCGTTCAGCGAACCGGGCCTGGCAGTGTGTGCAGCCGTACGTCCGCTCCCCCGTGTGTGTACGCATGTGTCTCGTGAGGGATGACCGTTCAGTGAATCGTGCTGTGCAAATCAAGCAACCGAATGGCCGCTCCCCAGTGTGGGTCCGCATGTGTGTAGTGAGGTGTTCCCGTCTAGCGAATCGTGCCGTGCAAATGGAGCAACCGAATGGCCGCTCTCCAGTGTGAGTCCTACGATGGCGTCTCACATCTCTGAAGTGGTCGGTCGAGTACTTGCACCACTCGCACTGAAATCTGCCGTTTCTGGCGATGTGACATCTTCTCACGTGTCTGTCCAGACGATGTTTTCCGAGACATCTGAAGTCGCAGTGGGGACACTGAAGTGCACCACCAATACCTGCGAAACACAGTTACAGATTGAAAGGGTCGAAAATGTATGTGGGTGGTCAGGTTCGTTCGGGCGAAATGATGGCACTCAAAAATCCAACTACAAAGTCTGTTCTGTATCTATAGAAGAGACCTTACAATTTCCTTTTACCAAGCCTTGCTATTCTAGCTTTCTTAGCTGCTGGTTTGTCGGGTAGGGACAAAAAGTGTAACAAACATACCGAAGACAGCAGAAACTCATACTAGGGCGAGGCTCAAACGCAAGTTTGTGTGCGTTCATGCAAAATTACTCGTGTTCAATTACGTAAAACATTTTCGTAGAATAGCACGAAACCATTTTTTGCGCGTGTTGCGTGTTCGAGAAGTTAGCCTTTCCCATATTGAAGCTACCCTAGGCTTGATCAGGTCAATGCTGGTGCGTATTTTGTGTTTATGTATGTTCTTGCTGTACTGAGGTAAACAATGTAAAAATATCCGGATAAATGTATTTCACTGGATTTCAAAAAAAGAGCATGCTCATTTTGGACAAATATGTTGTCACCCTTCACAAGTACGCATGCGCTGTGGCACTCTAGCCACTAGATTTTCCAGTTCCATGGGCTTGATGCAGATCGACGCTGTCTCGACCTGGGCCGCCGTTAGGTCGTGACGGCGGTGGTGAGTGGTGACGGGTGTCTTCTTAGTTCTTATCCACCTCCTGCTGAACATGGCCCACATGTGTTCTGTGGGACTGGGATCAGACCTATTCTCGGGGCATAATCCTCTGGCCGAGAAGGATCGGAGGTTCGCCTGACATCGCCCCTGGGCCTTCCTGGCACTGTGAGGTGGCGGATCTTAGCATGAAGACTGCGTGACTTGCATCAGACATCAGGGCGCCTTCACTAAGTCCTCTTCTGCGTTCGGCTGGGCGCCTCCAATCATCCCTTAGGCAGGACGTTACTCCATAATAAGTCGCCGTCAATGGTGCTTTTCTCCGACTCAAAGGCAGCTGAGACATCCCAAAGAAGACAAACAAGCTCTAGACCTGAACTTTGTCGGATGTTTGACGCTGATAGCGGCCATCACGTCCGAGCTGCTGGCCAACAAACGGCCATTTTGGCGGTTCAGAGAATGATATGATGATGATGATGATTTGTTTTCTTAGGGCGCACCAGCAACGAGGCTACATGGCGTCCATAACCAACCATTCTTACTCAAAGTCGGGGGTTAAAAATCACCTGAAGCCCGGAGGCCGTGATGAACGAAAAGAGGCGAGGGGATTCAATAAAGGGGAATCGTCGCAGAGAAGAGTTCTCAAGGAGAGCTGGGGGCCACGCAAGCCCAAAAACCGCAATCGCTCAACGTCCAGTCTCGGACACTCGACCAAGACGTGTCGGACCGAAAGTCGGTCACCACATGTGGCACAAAAGGCCTGGAGCCCACGCCGATAAGGTACCCATGGGTGCCATAAGTGTGCAGGTACGAAGCCGGCAGAGGACTACTTCCTCGCGTCGCTACAACTCGAACTGCGACCCATCCGACCAGGCGACTGATCCCCAGTCTTCCTCCGACCAGCAGAGGTGCTCTGGCATGAGCTCCAGGCGGTGGTGGTTCGCTTGCTTTCTGTCGGTTATTTTTGTTTGACTGGCAGCATCGCCAAAATGTTGTGCCGGTACTGTTGCACCATGGTATGGGACACCTAGTTTCCCGCCAAGGTAAGCATCAAATATTACTTGAATGTGCAAAACGTGGTACTGAGCGTTATGTTGACTTTTTCGGGGAGCATCGAATGAATCCGAAGCATTCCACCCAACTCCATATAAGCGTCAGGGTTAAATCACCAGTAAAACGCCTTTTGGGGCGACCAACGGAGCAAGCGAGAGGGTGGGCCTTGCACGTGCGAAATTGCGAGGGGGTACCTCCAACTAACTTGTGCACTGCACACTACGAACCGGTCTCTAGCGATGTGCCACATTTGAGCGCAATCAGCCCAGCCGTTCTCGAGATCTGGAGGCGGCACCCTGCACGTGCGCACGTGCAAAATGGGTCCCAACTCACTTTTGCACGGCACCCTACTAACCGGTCCCTAGCCATGTACCAAATTTCAGCGCAATCGCTTCAGCCGTTCTCCAGATCTGCAATCAACCCCTGCACGAACGCACGAGCAGCAGCACTTCAACCGTGGCACATGGATATGCATTGCCTAGTGGGTGCCTAGCCTACCTACATGCCAACTTTCAGCGCAATCGGCGAGATACCGAGACATTGCAATTGTTGCAAAACTGACACCTCTTCGTTTTGCACGTGGAACGTGCATAAGAGGTCACCCATATGCATCGGAAATAGTCCAATATCATCATCATCATCATTTATTTCGTTTGGAACTCCGTATTCACGGCTATTCTGTCCAAGTGTCAATTACATAAATACATATACGCTGAATGGTAAAGATGTTAAAGGAAAAAAAAGTACAGCACGTATGACGTGGTATCACACATTATAAGAGCCTAAAGCGCCCTCCTAAAGCGCCTGCGACACCCAGCAGACGTTTTACTGTCACGCACATCCAGGGCCAGTGAGTTCCAGCGTGCAATGGCGCGGTACCGGAAGAACCGCCGCGCCTGCTCGGTGCGGGGTTTCGGCAGCTGGAGCAGGTCGCTCTCAGTGGCACGAGTCTCCCTACTAGAGACGTCACTGCGGCGCTCGAGCCGCTCCGAGAGACACCTCGGCGCACTGGTATTGTTAACCAAGTAGTGAACAACACCGCAGTCACTCTCCGCCACAAGCTCGTCTATCTGGGGCCACCCGAGCTCCTCCAACAGCGGAGTCACGTGTGCTGAGCGGCGCGCTCCCATAACCACCTGTGCGCAGTGATTAATAACTCGCTGCACGCGGCGACGCTGAACAACGCCACAGCCCGACCAGACCGACAAACAGTAGCGGATGTGGGGGAAGATCAGCATCTCAACGATCAGTTTCTTCACTTCTTTCGGTAAGCATCGCGAAGATTTACACAGTCCTCCTAATGTGGCGTAGCATCGGCGAATCACCTCCGTCACATGTGGCTCAAAGGTCAAGCCAGAGTCGACAATTACACCCAATACCTTAATGCTAGCGGAAGTTTGAATAACATCATCTCCAAACTGTACATTAAAATCAAAGTCAAGCTGCCTCCTACGTGATTTTACAACTAACAGTTCGGTCTTTTTGGGGTTGATTTTTAGGCAGTTTTGAACAAACCAATGACTTGCAATGTCTAAAGTACATTCGGTATCTGTCTTCAGCTCTAAAATTCGCTTCGGTGATGCTAGATGTAAAAACTGAACGTCATCGGCGTACATCACTATTTTGGAGTCGACATAGGACGCAAGATCGTTTGAAAATAGCAAAAATAAGATCGGTCCCAAAAGTGATCCCTGTATCACGCCGTGGGTGATTGGCTTCACCTCCTCACCACCCCGCACCATCTGGCACCTGTCACTCAGCCAGTCACGGAACCAGTGTGCGCTAATGCCGTACCAGCCTAGCTTTTCCAGGAGCCGGGGATGCTGGACACTGTCAAAAGCCTTGCTAGTGTCGGCGGTCGTGAGAGAACCGATGAGACCGTCATCCAGACCATCCATGAGAAAACTGACAGTATCCAGCATCGCCGACTCCGTGGATCGGCCGGGCCGGAAGCCGTGCTGCACCTCGGAGAGAATATTGTGCGTGAGCAGGTAAGTCATCAGCTGACCGCAAACAACACTCTCAGCGACCTTAGCAACAGTTGACAGGAGCGACAGCGGACGATAGTTAGACGGGTCATCCATCGAGCCAGACTTATGCAACGGTATGACATGGGCCACTTTCCAGTCGGCGGGTAACTTTCCAGACACCAGCGACGAGTTAATGACCTTTAACAGATGCGGGCCTATCACTGGGAAAGTCATGCGCAGCATACCTATCGTGATACCGTCACCACCACTCGCATTAGACGCTGACATACGTTTCACGGCAGCTGACAGCTCTGACAGTGTCACGGGGTGGACGCGGAAAGCGCCGTTGACCACGCGAGGCGGCCGCGGCGGCAGCGGCTCGGTCACGCGCTGCGCCTCCTCCAGCGCGGCGGCCACGCTCGGGCCGACCGACGCGAAGTACTCGTTTAGTCTGTCAGCCCAGCGAGGGCCACTCGGAGATGAAGACGCAGAAGACGCTCCGGCTCTAGGTGAGATGAGGAAGCGTCTGATGTCCTTCCACGTGGTACGGCGCGACCGGCGGTAAGATGTCAGAAAGAAGTCTGACTTGGCGCTGATCTGGGCGCTCTTCACTCGGTTCCGACAGAGTCTGTACCGCTGGGCCGCTTGCTCGTCAGCCGGCTGAGCACGTCTCTCAGCGTCGGCCAAGTCACGCTCTCTCATCATGGTCTGCAGCTCGTCGTTTTCGGTGATCCATGGCGCCGGCGAGTGTCTCGGTCTGATCTTCTTCTCAGGCATGTGTCGGTCAATGACCGGCGACCACACCGCCAGCCATGCCTTCCACTTGTCGGCAGGATCAGTGGCGCTGTACACGGCCGACCAGTCGGATACTAGCAGCTCCAAACAGAGAGCGTCCGGCACCAGGTCTCGCGTGGACCTGATGGTGACCTCCGCGGGACGGCGGCGCTCCCGCTGGAGGGTGGTCTCAGCGATCACCAGATCGTGATCCGACCAGCTGCACGGCTCCACTCTGGTCGCCGTGATGTCATCAGATTGCCGCACTAGGACGTGGTCGATCAGACTTCCGCTAGCCGGTCGAGTTGGACAGCTGACCAGCTGCTTCATGTCCATGGCGCTGATCATCTGCAGGTAGCGATCAACATCGGCCTTGTCGGGTTTGAGTGTGTCGAGTTTGAGTGTGAGAATACTTGGTAGAAGGAATGAAGCTACCGTACAAAAATAGCCGCATGTGAATCGGTCAAGTGGTTGCGGAGATACAAGCTTCGCAGAAACGTGATCACGGCCGGCCGGCCGCTCATACTCAGAAATTTCCGTTAACCTACGAAAACAACCCTCCAAGCACATTGAACGAACCAAGTCCGCGTAGCTTGGTAAATATACGTCAAGGCTACACACATCAGAGACGCGTAACTTAACTGAACGGAGACGACAAGAATACAGTCTACTGTGGGTAGAAAGGAAAATGTCATTATCAGGAAACCTTCGATAGACACCATAGCCCTCGGAACCGCCAACGATGTACTGACCTGAGGATGACGGTCCGGCCGGAGAGGAAGTCACAGCCTCCCCAGACCTCTCCGAGTGGACGGTCAGCTCCCGGGCCGAGTCGTCTCCGTAGTACACCAGCAGCTCTGAGCCCCTCGGGACGGGCTTTGACGTCCTGCATAGGTCAATACATATGTGATCATTGATGAATGCAAAACACATTCAGTCTTGGTCGAATTGGTACATAATAGCTTAGAAGATAGAATTGGTACCAAAGAGCTTAGATATAGCTTAAGAACAACCACGAAACCATAAGGCAAACCGCAAACAAAATATGAAACACAGTTTGGTGGAATCCATCAATGGATTGTAAGACTACAACACACCTGAAGTATATCTGACCCCGGTACTGGAAGGCCACTAGGTTTTGTTCTTCCTCCGAGCGGGCACAGTTGACCCTTCTGAGCCAGTTGCTGCAGCTCGGGTCTTCGGCATTCACCAAGTGATGCACACGCTCACCCTTCTTCATCTGAAGTACGACAATAAAATAGCATATCAAATCTAGGAATGAAACAAAAAAAATCGTTAATGTTATGGGATCATGGTCAACTTTCTGTCTCTGTCATTGGTGTGAAATGATTTTAATATTTTTTAATCGTAAAAAACTCCATAGCAATACAAGCGACAAGTGCCACTGTGAAAGTAATGGAACCAAGGTTAACCCGCGCCCCGTAGGGGGGGGGGCCGAAACGGCCCCCCCTGTCCTTTTCGGTCGATATCTCCTAAACGGCTGGAGATATCGCCACCAAACTTTCAGGACCCCTCCGGGCATCAATCTTACACATTGTGACCAAAAATTTTTCCAGAGGCTGTGATAGGTTGGCCACAAATGACGTCAGAGTGACGTCATGTTCTGTCATTTTCGACCGAAAAAAGACCTTCGCGAGAAGACCTGTCAGGCCTACAGCTTTGAAGATACAGAAAAATGATCAAGACATATAAGGTGTAGAATTGACAGGACTACAAAACTGCTATCTCGGATTTTTGAAATTTTTGAGTTTTGATCCCCAAAAATCAAAAAAGCATTTTTTTGGATATATTAGCCAAAAAATCCAAAAAGTTTTTTGAGTTTCGAAAAAATCGGAATATATGTGATAGTACCTACCGTCTTCTATCTACATACCAAATTTTAGATCGATACCTCGTTTTTTGGCCAAGTTATAGCGAAAAAACTGTTCAAAAATGATGACGTCAAATTTTCAAACTCAATTTTTGGCAATTCTAGAACTCGTAGAGCAAAACAAAGACCACCATTAGACTCCCCGTGACGAGCTGCATCGAATGGATACCCATTTTATGCAAAAATATCAACTTTGAAATTTGACCTAATTTGACCTGACCTTGACCTGACCTTCACCAAAACGTGACCTAGGCTGGCCCCAAAGGCTGCCTAACCCACATAATCGCATTTGTCATGTAAAATGGACCATAAAACATGTATCACACGACACATTCATATTGTGACCCCCGGTGACCTGACCTCGCTGTGACCTGACCTGGTATCAGTGACCTCAGATAGCAAAGTATGTGTTTGACGAACAATATACCATCGATGGTTTTCAATAAATTACCAATTTACTCGATTTCACAGCACATTTCTTGAATTGCCTGTGAACGGTGAAAATCTGACCTTTGACCTGACCTGTGACGTCATCGGTTTGACCTAGGTCAATGAAATTTGGTCACAAGGTAGTTCCCGGGTAGGGCTATCAAACGCCGTTTGAATTTTGAAAATCGGCCGGTAACTTTCCGAGATCTTAGGGGGGGGGCCGAAACGGCCCCCCCCCCCTACGGGTGGTAGGGTCCGCCGGTAGCCCTACGGGGCGCGGGTTAAAGTATGATACAAAATATGAACCAGGAAGATGTTATTGCAAATAAGTATTAGTGATATTTGGCAGACAAATGACAAAACCGACCTGCCATCTGTACCCGGTGGTTCGAGCCTGACCCTGCTCGGTGGTCAAGATGCCCTCGTAAGGACCAAGTCTTTGGCGCGCAGGAAGATCATTCTCCGCAAAAACTCCTGGAATGGAATTAAGACATGCCTTCACAAACCTATATGGACAAACATTGTATTGATACAAGGGACATTCAATTGTGTGATACATACACCATCACTAAAGTTTGCAGCAAATATCCAGCAGCGTTTCTTACGTACCACCGTTTGTTTTGCCTCATCAACTTACCGTTGCCAGATGCTGGATTTTTCGACTGACCAGAGCTGAGAGACGACGGCAGAGTCTTGAGGTCCCTTTCGGCATCTCCGATACCGGGTCGTGCCTGGAATATTCAGCGTAGGTATAATATAAAGCACAATGTCGACCAAAGATGATATATAGCGCATATAATGCGCAATGTCGACCAAAGATGATATATCATACATAATGAACTACGTAGGATGACCGTTAGCTTGTTTGGAAATTAGCCAGGGATGTTTTGTGGATAAAGATCAACTAAGACCTGTTGTACACATGGTCGCACCCATGACAGTACTGAGAAAACTGCTGCACAGGCATTAGCCACAGAACTACATTACTCTAAACAAAACCGCCAATCTCTACATGCCCACTCTGTCATTTTGTGACTTTAAACCTAATCGGTCACATTCAATGTCGAAATGAGGCAGACACCGGTGTGAAAAGAAAAACTAAAGAAGAATAATGTGTGGAGGATACCAAATCAACGCGTCCCTTACCTTGGTATCGGGTATGACCTTCAGCGGTCCATGAACGGGACACTCTCCGTCAAAATCGCGGCAACACACGTCACAAACTGCCGGAAAGATGGGCGAATGAGTTTCTACGACTTGATGGACGATACAGTGAGGTTTGATCACTGTTATTATTTACGTTTCTGTTGGACGGAAAGAGTACATCGGTGGTGGTTCTATTTGTATGCAATTGCATGAGCTGTTGTTGCGTGCTGTATTTGTTCATTGATGAGGAGAAGCTAGTTGAAAAGGAGGAAAAATACTCACATATGTTACCATCATCGAGACCATCCACGTCCCGGTAGTTTATGACCATACGTTGACTCTTGATGAACACTCCTTCAGCACATGCTGCAAAAAAAAAAAAACAGGAACAGGTCATGTATTGACCGGGTTTCATTTACGTCAAAATTGAATTCAAAAGAACGCCTACGGCAAAACAGTAAAATCATTTTGTCAAGCCACGATCCACCAGCATTAAAACAAACTGACATTTTTTCTGCAAAGAGTTCAAAAATAAGACTCTTGACATAACGGTAGAACCGCTTCCGTATATATTATTTCTGTCAACTTACCTTCAACAGAGTCTTGACTGTCTGACAAAATATCCGGCAACAGATTCCTTTTCACATTGGAGATGAACCAAGCACTGAAACAAAAGAAATACGCAACAATTATGATAATTCAAAAAAAAATATACAGTGTCAAATAACTATTTAAATTTCAACAACAGCACTGGATCAGCCCTTACCTGTCCCGGTCCACCTCAGTGAACCCGATGAAGTCCTCGGACGATGACGGCGACCGACACCGTAACTTTTCCTCCTTCACTACAGACTGGAGAGCGCGGTCCGACAAAAGATCCTCATCCGACACCGAGGGAGACGACGGCCGCTCAACCTAGACCGAATAAAGAAAACAGTTATGTTAAAAACAGCACGTTATTCCACCATAGATATAAAAATTGGAACACATTTTGTTTGCATTTCTCTCGTATCAAACTGGCAGTAAAAACACCAATGATAAACGAGCAACATGTATTTATGCACTTACCCTTGGTGAGGTGACTTCCATCTTTATCTCCTCCTTCACAGTCGGCTCAAGGATGCCCTCGGAGCCACTGTCTATGGGAGTGGTGTTCCTCCGCCTCTGGGACCGCCTCACACACTCTGACGGACCCCATTCCTCGTCGCCGTCAGCAGAGCCCTCCCGAGACCACTTTGATTCTACCGGTGTCATTGACGCAGCCCGCATGGACGGCGGCGGTTCAGACTCTGGTGAGATGGGTCCAATGTCCTTTGTCAGTTCACGTTGCGCATATCTAGGGGAGACCCGGGAGGTATGGGCCCCCTGGAGGTATGGGCCATCGCAGTTTTGAAGAAGTGTTGCGCATTTTTATACATTTGACCGCGTAAACTGGTAGCAGCCATTCCGCTATGCATCCCAAGTGATTTCCAAAATCTTCCTCAGTCTTCTGTGGCAATGAGCGGTGATAAAGCGTTTTTGCACTCTTCTAGTAAATTACGGTACATACAGAAAATTCGTGATAAATTTGAACCAGGCTCGTTTTATGATGTCAGACCATCGCTAATATAAAGTTTAAAGCATGCAAATTGAGACTGGATAGACAATTTGAAGCTTTCTTGCAAGATTATGAGTTGAGATGCTACGTGCATTCTGGCGTCCTAACCGGGAGGTTCGGGCCACCCACCCCCAAAGATCCTAAATCAATAAAATGATGCTTTCATTGAATGTCCTCTTCAATGAGTTTTATTTTTGTCACGCAAGGTCGAAAATTTAAGTACAAATTTCATTCGAACATAAAAATATTATTTATCTTATTTCATGGAGCATGAATGAGTTTACCAAAATACAGATGTGCCCAAGTGACCTCCATGAAGTAAGCTGTTGGCCGCTTATGCGGTTCCTGGGCTTCAAGAGAGATCAAGGAAGATACCAGCTACGAGTATCGTTCTCATTGTCGAGAAAAGAATATGAAACATGGCACCGGCCCATACCTCCCGGGCCATGGCCCATACCTCCCGGTGTATTTTGATGGATCGAAAAAGCGCATTATTTTTTGCAAGATATCTCGAGACAAAATAGTTGATCCGAGATGCCTAATATCAGGCACACTTTGCAGGCGAAAGGCAATTTCACGTACACAGAGTGAAAAACCGGGTCTAGCCACTGCCCACTGGAAGAAAATTGCCTTTTCACAAAACCGGCCCATACCTCCCGGGTCTCCCCTACACCAAATCACAACAAGGCGAGTAGATAGGGGACATGAAATAACTAAGTTCCAAAGTTCTCATCGACAGGTATTGAGCAATTCCTTACAAAGTTGGCGACACACACCTACTGTTAAAGGGAGATAATGACCTTTTTCCACAAAATCTGAGTTAGGATCATTTTCTGACAAAACACAACAAGTTATAATGTAAATTAAAACCATTTTGCTCAATGCGGTACCTTGCCGCAAATATCTCAACTTGAAGTCACGTTAGCGGGGAGCGCTGAAAATGACCGTTGAATAAGTACTTACATCACTTTTTGGTACTTGCATGTAATTTTGTAAAATGAGCGTATTCCTTACATTTGATCTTCATCACATCTAGTTAGTTAATGGTCGTCTATAGTGCCTTCAAAAGATATTCATGGTTTGGGGGTGGTTTATGTCTAAATTTACGCAACTATTTTTCCTGTTCATCATCTGAGGCCATATGCTGCTATTTTAGTAGCAACGACTCAATTTTGAATCGGTCCCGCCGACTGCACAATAAAAGAAGATAGATACAACACTTTTGCGGCATCACTGAAAAACTTATGCAGTACTGTTATCAAAATTCTCATAACACCGTTCGACAAACCTGAAGTCTTTTTGAATTAAATATGCTTGTATTTTTCGCTTCAGGCTCTGAGGCCAAAATAATGAATTTCGTAGTCGCAATCGCAAGATTTGGCTGCGTTTCTGGCGCATGCCGTTCATTTGTGGCGCAAAATAATACTTGGAAACAAAGAAGAGTAGGCACTATGTACGAATCTAATTAATTCTAAACCAAATTAACTCTAATTCAAATTAGAATCCTTACAACCAAGCAACGACAAGGCGATAACATAAACAAAAACCCAAGCGTCGCTGTTTGAAACAAAAGCGCCATATACTGCGACTTTTTTATAGAGAAGGACAAGAAGGACAACGCATTTCGGTGGGTGCTACAAGTACTGCAAGTACTGCTTCTTTTTTGCAAAAATAAAAACCTTTTTCACATACGAAAATGTGCTAGGAAATTTTCATATTTTATAGAAACTACAGTAGAAATAGTATAGATGTCGAGTAATTTTTATTAAAGAAAAAAGAAAGCTCATTATCTCCCTTTAACGCCAGACCTCTTGAGACTCTAATTTTTCGCGATTATTTTTAAATGCATGGAAGAATTTCAACCAAGCTCAGGACATGGCCGTTTCAAGACCTGCCGAAACTTTTACAATTCAGATATTTTGTCGCCAGTTCAATATTTCAGGCACTTCTCATTGACTCGTAATGTTAAATTTCGAGCAAGATTTTCACCCGGTGTGTAGAGGCTATCACCAGTCGGCCTGTGATACATTATGACGTCACGGCTAAGCCCCGCCTCTGTCACGGCTAAGCCCCGCCTCCTCTGCGGCGGTTTCGGGCCGGCGCGAGGTCACTCGCGCTGTGGCGGGGAGCGGGGACGGTCGAGCGGTGCCGAAAGCCGGCGGAGTTGTGCGTAACGTCTTGTCTGACAGTGCCTAAAGAGCGACATGATGACTGAGGAGCCATAAATGCTCAATGCGCATTGCTTGTTCAATGCTGATATGTTCGCCGATATTTGTTTTATTTTTTATAAGCTGCAAATGACGGGCAGATGGCACAAAACTGACATAAGGTTAGGAAATATTCACCCGTATTTAAAGCCTATGGCGTTGCAGATAATGCGATAATGGGATGTCGGATGTCACCAAGTAGCTGCCGATTTGTACAACGCTATGCACCCATCGACCAGCGCAATTAGCTTATTGCCTTCGCTTCACACAGTGGCGCGGGAACTTCTTCCAGACTGGGGGGGCTAAACCATAATAGAAATCAACCTAGGGTACCACCAAATCTAGTTTTCTCACCGGTTTTAGGCCACTTATTTTTCAGACCTTGGCCTTTTCAACAACAACAAAAAAAAAAACGAAAATATTTTCAAAAAGTGAGGTATTCCGTCTCAGCTGAGTGAAGAAATTACCGTTTTGGCAACCTGGAGTAAAGGTTTTAATCTGCCAAATGAGTTGCCGAGCCAGTGAAATAGGTGGATTTTTCACTTACATGCTTTCTTCCTTTGCGACCCACAACCCCTAATTTGGGGAGGACAAGCTGCCCAACGGTTCCTGGCCTCATGAAACGTTGTGGGGCACCGCCCCCACGGCCGCAGAGTTGTGGAGGCAAGCTTCCCCACTGCCCCCTCCCCCAGTTCCCGCGCCTATGTATGAATCTATGAAATTATGTTGGTAGATTTCCGATTTCGATTCCTCCAGCTGGGGGGGGGGGGGCTCTAATACATTACGAGCCCCCCCCAGCCGAAAAGCTGGGGGGCTCAGCCCCCGCTAGCCCCCCCGGTTCCCGCGCCACTGGCTTCACATCATAAGGCTCGCTCGTATTTCACCAAACAGATATCCTACATCGAAAATCGTATTTGTTAGGAATCGTTAACGTTTGTTCGAAGCATGTGTGAGTAGAAGATTGAGGAGTGATGGTCCTCTTGGTCCCATATACCTACAAGAGTCAACAACAGCCTAACATTTACTTGACCGTCTGCTGCAATTGATTCATAGCACGTGAAACGTCAGCGAAATTCATAGTCCTTTACAGATGGCAGGGGTGTCGTTTGTACAGAGGTCGCTGATGGGCACGGGTCAATGCTTCAGTCGTGGGCGGAGCCTAATGTCATATGACGTATGAAAACCTCTATCCAGGATGGAAAAACAGTTAACATTACGAGTCAATGATAAGTGCCACAAATATCTAAGTGACAACAAAATGTATTTGAAGAAAAAGTTTCGGCAGGTCTTGAAACAGCTATTAACTAAATATGGTTGAAATTATTCCACGCATTTAAAAATAATCGCTAAAAATTAGGGTCTCAAGGCGTCTGGCGTTAACAGTAATGCACCTGTCAGCAATCTCAAAACTAGAGAGACCAACACTCATCCATAAAAGTAAGTTTTGCTAATAGGTATGTTTTGCATTGCAGCCGAGTGAAATGCCACCATAAAATAGCAGCATACACTAAAGTACCTACAAAACAGGAAAATTCTGGGCTCCACTTATCTAATACCTATATCAGTTATGACAATAACATTTTGCTGAAAGCAGACATTTATTGTAGATTGGGCACCTTGGCTGCAAACCATCAAAATTTCAGGAGGATCCATAGGTGGAACTTTGTACCAGATGCTAACGTCAAATGAAATGGATGGCTGTGATGAGCATCGTTATATATACTATGTAATACGAGAAGTAGTAGCCTTTGCTCATATTAATGTTCAAATAATGCACAAAATTGGTGCATTATTTGATGCACCAATTTTGCTAACCACCACCAAAGATGCTAACGTCCTGCAAATTAGCTAACCCCTTATGGTGTCTTTCCGCTCTGCCATCTGTAGCAGCTCCAAAGTCCAAAGCCAAGGTGGAGGGCAATTTAGCCTGTCCCGTAGCTCAGTTGGTAGAGCATTGGACTCCCGGTAGTGAGAGCCCGGGTTCGAGACGCTCCGGCACTCGATATTTGAGACTCCTGACGAGGATGGTCTGCGGTTGGTGGGAGCAGCCGCAGCCAGTTGAAGTCAGTTGAGTGGGACAGGCCGTGTCCGGCTTTGATGGGCACGCCAAACTTTGGCATCTAAATTCTCCCGTTACCCGGAATTGCGCGATCGGACGGTAGGGGTCGTTCATTCTACGCAACAAGCTCTGCTTAGCGTGGGCTCCGGCTCTGTCAATCCGCCCATTCAAACATTCGAGCAAAATTTATCCCACCTCACGATCCCCCCGAGGAGGGATCGTGCGCCCAGAAGTATGTCCTCCTCGCGTTCGACTTCAGTCGTGCATACGACACCGTGGATCACCGACTCCTAAGAGTGAGACTGCTAGAGCAAGACATCCCGCTCTGCTTCATCACATGGATCTGGCAGTTCTTGAGAGATCGTCGGGCACGTGTGGAACTGAATGGGACCTCCAGAGACGTGAGGGCGTTCAGGGCGGGCCTGC